AATTTTGATATCTCTAGATATCCTTATCCTTTTCTGGTGTTCGGTGAAGCCAAAAGAGTTATCAAATTTAATATCTGCAGATATCATAAATCTTTAAAATTGATGGTCTCAATATCTCCCGAATTTAGGAGATATCAATATGGGGGTTTGATATCTCTCTCAACTATGGATCATTCTTTGTCACTCGCTATCATTATTACTGCCAACCACTCCCGTTGTCAGTCACCTTTTCTTATAACTAATTAAATCCTGAATTTAAATCTCTCCAAATAAAATAATTTTAGATTATAAAGTCCATATCATTTCTCTGAGTTTTCATAACTCACATCTTATAATATCTCCAAAATTCACTAAATTGGCCCTAAGCAATTAATAAGATATTTCTTCACTTTAAAATAAATTTCATATTTTTATGATATATTTAAATCGAAGCAATCAGTTTGATTATATTTATTAAAATATGAGAAGATTAGAAACACTTATTTTAAAACTACAATGAAACTTTATAAAAATGAGAAGATTAGAAAATAAATTGTTAAAGCACGTAAAATATATTAGACTTTTAAGTTGTTGAGATAACATATTTATTTTGTACTCAACAGCTTGGTTTTATATTTGCAATTACTTCACAAATTAAAATCATATATTTCCGTTAATGTAAATTAGTCTGACGGAGAAGAATCATGATTTTTTTATATTAAAATTACAAGATCGGAAATCTAAGTTTGTTAAATAAATGCGGGGGAGACGAATAATAAAATCACCAATAATTTTGTCGTATATTTTTTGAATTCAGGGGGTGAAAAGAATTATATATTTGTAATAATTTAGTAAACCTAGATTTTATGTGTGTGTGTGTATGTGTGTGTGTGTGTGAAATTTAAATGGTATATATAACATAAAAAAAATTAAGTTGTTTAAATATTTGAAATTGTATAATAAAAAACAATTTCGTTCCACCCGTGCATGACACGAGTTAAAATACTAGTATCAAAAATGAGTCACTCTCTCTATCATGTTATTTTATTCAATGAAATGTGAAAAATATGTATTCGTAAAATAAAAAAGATTGACATTATAGAGTTGTAGTGTGTTGGCAACACAAAAATACATAGACCCTCTAATCTTTTAGATTTTAAAAATAGAGTTACATATAGGAAAAAATTATAAAAGATGAAAAATCTAAAGGTTAGAAAAAACTAGTACTTAGTATTTTAATAAAATGGGATGAATTGGGAAAAAATATGAAGGGTTGAAAATTATTTACCCGTTGAAGTTAAGGATTACTGGATTAGAATCTTAAATAACAAAACCAGAATGTGTACTAGTGGCTTGTTTTAGTTGGCTTTATCACGAACTTTTTTGTACCATTTATATTCCAAAATATTTTCCACATCACTTTTTAAAAAATTACTTTATCCATCTTAAAATTAGTTTCTTAATTTGACCAAGTACAATCTTTTACGAAGTAATACCAAAATGAGCTAAATAGAGAGAGGGCAGAAGTGTTGGAAATCAAGCCACTTATCCGTGTTGCCAAACAAGTCATGAAAGATGTGTTAATCAATAAATTCACCGATAAAGCTTGGTGTATACAAATCTTATTCTACTTGTACACCAAGTATATCATAAACATAAAACACTTAACAAAGTTTGGTTAAACCATCAACATGTGATGCCAGACGTTATGAAAACTAAAAGTTGGATGGTGAAACAATGTTAAGGAGTATGTAATAAAGAAAGCAAAAAAAAAAAAAAACAATTTGGCTTTATGAGTATTTTTTTGTTCAACTTATTCTTAGTATTACTTATTAAATCAGACCAGTTTAAATCAAAAACACCTTTAAATACAACTATATTCAAATCCAGACAAGATCAAAATTTATTACAATCAAATTACAGCTATAAGATCAAGTGAAAAGACCGAGCTCTTACTAAGACTAAATTCACAAGTTTGATTACTAAGCATTATAAAAAAACAAAAATATGAATGACAAAAAAACTAATAAGATTATTAAATAGCATATGCAATACAAATAGTTTTGTTAGTGAGTAAATAATACACAACAAAGGGTGGGGGCAAGTCTAAAGCAAAATGAAAGAGCAAAGGTTACAACAACAAGAACATGAGGCAACAGTTTCCATAACTCACTTCTCAGTTGAGCATTAATAAATAAGGGTACTTATAGAGCATCCTAAAATGAATAATAATCTTTTATCTTCAGCCAGCCTCAGATAACATAGTTCTTTTTTCTTCTTTTTTTTTTGGGTAGTTTGCAAATCATTCATCATTACATGTATACACATAAATACCAGGGCTACTCAAGGCAAGCACACTGCTTCTTCGCGTGTTCGGGTATCAACTTCGTTAGGAGCTCAGGAGTTGCTCCTTTCAGCTCTGCAAATAAAACACACAACTTGGTCATTCTTGTCATTCCTGTCCTTGTCATTATCACTCTTAATCTCTGTGTCATTTTCCATGGGAAGATAGTTTAGGGATAAAGAGAGTATAATACTCTGTTTGCCCCTAAATAATCTTCCCATGGAAAAAAAAATCTAAATATATGCAAGAATTTTAAAGCATGTTACTCATTTGATTTTATTTGAAGTTTTTGAGCTAAGAACCAAACACAAGAAAACAAATCCCCTTGGCATTTTTTGCCATCAGTTAAGGAGATTCAAACATACTTAGTGCATTTGTGAGGGGATGTGCAAGATGAATGAGAGGGATACGATATCAAACCTTGAGGCCTGAAATTAAACAGGGGTGGCAATGGACGACCGTTAGGAAGACGGGTGTTCGGATCACGAAGCTCATTGAAGAACGGATGGATACAAGCCTCCAACTGCCAAAATGAAAAAACCAAATAAACTCATAAACTTCAGGTGATCATCAACACTCATATACATAGGTAAGCTCTTGCTCATGAAATGTTCCCGTCATACTCACCGCATTGCACCTCAGATAGGGAGAGTACTGGAGAAGCCTTGAAACAAGATCTACAGCCTCAGGCGGCATGCGCTTATGAAAGATCTGTGAGAAAAGAATTAATATAAGATACCAAGGCCTGCAAAATATTTTTCAAATGGGTAACTAAATTTTATTTTCCTTTGTGTATTTTTTCATATTATTTGCTTAGGAAAACTAGAACGCAATTCAAAGGTAAAATAATCGTAATTACAACTTTCCACTTTTATCTTCTTTCCATATTTTCTTTCCACCCAACAAAGAGTAACTGAAGACATGTAAGTTCCCTTACTTTGTGCCATGGGTGAGCCTTGATCTGTGGGAACTTGAACTCTGTGTAATTTGGGTTCATGCATTTGATTTCTTCACGCGTTGGGGTCCCAAGAACCTGAGGAAATGATAAATTTAGAGTATTATACATTTATATATACATTCAATTTTAAAAACTTTATTAACTTATAAACTTAACACAAAAGGTTCACACTTCACTTGGAAGTATTACCTTGATTATTTCAACAAGTTGATCGACGCCACTATCACCAGGAAAGAGAGGCTGTAATATTGGGATGACAAAAAATGGAATAGCCGGATTTAGTCAACTCGCATATTATTGGTAACTTTAACATAAAGACTATCAGTAACTTGTTCAGCACCTGCCCCAGAAGTAGTTCAGCGAGAACACAGCCCACAGACCAAATGTCAATGGCAGAAGTGTATTCAGTAGCTCCAAATATCAGCTCAGGCGCACGATAGTAGCGCGAACAAATGTAGGAAATATTTGGCTCACCTTTCACCTGTTACAAAAATGGGCTTTACTTCTTTGCCGGACTTTAATAGAAGTGTCTTTTCAAAAGAAAAATGTAGAAAAATAAACATTCAAAATAGTCTTAACGAACAAGGGGTTTCACATTACTCCAAAGCTCAATCTATCATGTTCTATGTTACATGTATTTGGCATGAACAATTACCAGAACTTTGGCACTTCCAAAATCACAGAGCTTTAGTTGATGGGTGTGAGGATTGACCTGCAATGATATAAATGATGCACATAAGAATTTCCACTCCAGAAGATTAAAATAAACATATTTGAAAAAAGGGGTGCTGACCAGTAGATTTTGTGGTTTTATATCCCTGTGACAAACTCCAATCCCGTGGATGTAAGCCAAAGATCTAAAGATCTGAAAAATAATAAAACTGTGAGGAAGTGTGGTCAATAGTATCAAATTCAGGGTAAGATTTGATTAATATTTATAATATACAAACTATTATGAGTATTATCTAAGATCAATCTGGTTATGTTTATATTTATAATGCTTACCTGCGGTGCTAACAAAGCAAATTTAAGAGAAAAATAACTGTTAAATAGTTAAGAAAACTTGCTTAACCTGATATGTATAGAGCTTGACATAAATCATAGGCATCCTCTGGTTTGCTTTGCTGTAGTGTCTTGAAACACGGTACAATGTCTCGGGTACATACTCAAGTACTAAATTGAGGTAAAGCTCATCTTTCTCCGTGGTTGAAAAGAAGCAGTGCTTGAGTGATATGACATTAGGATGATCAAGAAGGCGCATTGTCTGAAGTTCCCTGTTCTTATATCTCTTATCCTGCAACACCTTTTTAATCGCAACTGTTTCTCCAGTTTCAAGGCACTTAGCCTGCAAAATGGTCAAGACTTGTATGAGATGAAATATAAAGACGACAACATGAATTTATGCAATTCCTAAAATCACACTGGTAATTTTAAATTTTACATAAATACCATTCATGGACCCTGCATATGCCTTTTTTGAAACACAATATATGGGGATTTTGGTTTATGAAGGAGGGTTAGAGGGTTCAAGAACAAATGTAAAAATCACCTGGAAGACAATCCCAAAAGAACCCTGTCCAACAACTTGCTCTGCCATGTAGCTGATGGTCTGAAAATTTAAAAAGGCCACAACTTCGCGTTAATGAACTAACAGTTTGATTAAATCAAACACTTAAGTTAATAATTCAAGAAAAAGTGGAATTTCAAATCCATAAATGAAAGATGTTCTTATGAGATTTCTTCTAGTGGAAAGGCTAATATTTGTAATGTTACTATGCTTATTCAATAATCAGCGGTCAACATAATTGGTCAAAAATTATGCTGTAATCTAACAAATTTGACCCAACCGCACACAGCATAAAGCAGATGATGGTAGACTCCCTAAACAATCACAAATTCATAACTAAAATTCCACAATAGTATTTGCAATTACTAAGTATGGGATATACATGTTTTTACCTGCTTTGGTTGGCCATTTTTACCCCCAATAGTGGTCACAATTATGTGTCCTGATTCAGTTCCATTTCCATCCACTATAGTGGCCTCCATTTCCTGAAAAGGAAAATTAAAACCATTTTTTTAAAATTGAATGGCATTCGAGGAAACAAAAACAAACAAACAATCAAACAAAATTAGCAATCATTCCATAAAGATCAGACCTTTTCCTGCTTATCATCTCTGATCTTCATCTCATTGATTTCCCCGGGCAGCTTATCAACAAGCATTGCATCATACTTCGGTTTTCCAGCAACAGAACTCATCTTACCACCAGAAGAAGCCATACAAATCAACCCAACCAAGTTCAGAACATCATCTTCATCTTCAACCCTGGATCAAAACAGACAACGCCCAATCAATAACTATAACATGCCCCCACAAATCACACTTCCCTTCCGTCAAAAAAAATCAGATCTTCCACTCAAAAAAGCTCTGAAACTCAGAAGCCTCATACACAATCAGGATCTAGCATTCCAGCTCAAAAGAAAGAAAGAAAAAAGAACCAAAATCAGCTACCATACCTTCAATTGGAAATTGGTCACACATTCCACGGACAGAGAGAATAGCAAGAAACCCTAAAAAAGATTGCGCCCAAGTCTAGAGAGAGAGAGAGGGTAGAGTTTAATTTGCAGAGGAAGCTAAGCTTTGACTGAGTTTTAAAGATAAAGAATGGATTTTTATTCATGGCCCTGTGAGGATGGATGGGGGGATATTCAGAGAAATGTACTGCGGACCCCAAAGGAAATTATGAATTTCAGTTAATAGGGGTTTCGGAGTTCGGACCTGGAGTATGACGTGGCGATTCAGTTGTCTCGTCCGCCATTATTGAGTTTGACTGGTGGGCTGGCATTTTGTCGTGGATCAGGGTCCCTCTGCTCGCCGTTGATTTCGACCACCTAACAGCGACCGTAGGATGTTAGAGAGTTGGACTCGGGAGTTGTTCTTCCCATTTTGTCAACTTTTTGGATAACTCTTGTGCAAGGTGCATGGTATATCTAATCCAAAATTTCTACTCTCCGTTCCACAAAAAAGTTCTCATTTTACTCAAACAGTTATACGCATTGACCATAAATTAAAAGAAAAATCTAAAAAAAATTTGAGATATCAAAACTAGATCCTAAGATGAATTCAATTATATTAAATTTATTTTATAATTCAATATACCTTTCTCACAATTTGTAGTCAAAGCGTGTAAATATTTGACTAAATATTACTCCGTATTCAAAATGAGAACTTTTTTGTGGGACGGAGGGAGTACTCATTTTGTACATCAAAGTTATAAATCAATATTTTGATGGTTCACACTGACACACAAAGTGTTGGTGTCTTAACAAACATTTACTACACTGACACAAAGTATTGTGCGTTAACAAAACTTATGATTACATCAACACAAAATGTTGGTGCATCGATGTACAGTGCTAGTGTGCTACAGGAAATCGACCTTGTGTGCTACAGGAACCCATGCGCGCAACTTTTTGAGTAAGTCTTTTAAAAAAATCTTTGCGTCCTCCAAACATTCTTTGCCCACAGCGGCGATATCCTTAGTGGCACTACCACGTTTGCAGCCTCTTCACGGGAATATCGCCCCCTTTCCTCAATAATCACAATGCATGACTCCCTTCGTGGGAACGATCACGGTCAGTTAGTTGTTGCATTTTTTTCGGTTACAACTAACTTCCCCCATAAATAAAAAAACAAATCTTGTAAATTCATATTTCAAACTCTACTCCCTCCCTTCTATTATATTTTTTTAATATTTCATTCCAAATTTAATATTTCGACTTACACCATGAATCCAAACAACCCTAAACCTATACTTTTACAATAATTGTCTCACCTTCAATCCAAGCGATACGAGCTTGAATATCGAGAATTTTTTCGATAATTGTTATCATCCCAGTTTTGAGAGACTTGAGCATTATATTGGACTCCATCCCCAAACTAGTTCTCTAGTGGCTCCAAGTTTCATATTTTCCAAGTTCATTCGTTAGTCACGTTTGAGGTCATACAAAGATCGTGCATAAAAGACAACACACGTTACAAATACATACACGGAATAGATGGCATAGTGCCCATCACGATCCTCAACACACTATAAATACATACACGAAATAGATGTTATGAGTGCACATAACGCTCTCATACATGGAATATGCTCAAACGACATCCAATTCTTGCTTGAACAAGAGCATCAAGGGGAAACACTAATTGTACTTAATCTCGATATTCGATAGAGATGCTCTTTTCTTAATAAATATTTTCTTACCCTTAAGGTAATGGATCTGAGACTAAATCATAGTAAGTATTTTGTACCTGTGCATTTACTATCTGGTCCCCCTTACTTAGTTTCTTAATATCTATCAACCAACTCCCTAAGTAATTTAGGTTGACTTTAGTTTTCCATTAATAATTTCTTAACATCATTTAAACTTTTGAGTGACTAGTCTCCTATCATTAACACTTCGATTCGATATAGTAATGATGCAAATATTACTGCACTCATTAATGTATTCACATGCTTTATTTATACTCACCACTTATTAGATAAATTTGGAATTAAATTTTGATTGACTAAAGTTCAGTTTGATTAAGTTTAGTTATACTTCTTTTGTTTTAACTTAGTTTGGGTTTTAGGCCACTAACTCTTGGTGACGTTGCTTAGATATGATGGTGGGAACAAAATATCGTATTCAAAAGTTGTTTCCACCCAAGAACACTTTACGTAAACAAAAAAATATTATAAGAAGCCTACTTTTTATTGCATGTAAAATAAATAAGAAGCTATGGTATATAGATTGGTGCAACGAACGCATCCACACGAATAATAAACAATAACTTATGCAAAAATTACTTACTTAAATAGAATTGAAGCATAATGGCTTTCCTTAAATAGCATCACATGTATTTTTTCCCAATATAGCACTTTCAGTCATTATGCATTAGTCATTATTCAAGTAAATATTTGCTATCATTGTACATTATGGACATTATTAGGTGCTATTTAGGAAATAAAATAATTTAAGTACTATTTAGGGATATGATTTAAGTTTTAGCGCTATTTAGTGCAAATATTTCATATTATAAGAATATGTTTTAAGGCTAAACCAAGTTTATGAAACAAAATATTATATAACTAGCCAGAATAACTTCAATATCCTTTATAGTTTAGAAAATGAGTACAAATGCCGCATTTGTTTTCAAGCTTCTTTCTCAATTCGCGTCATTTTCCTGCCATTTTCTGATCATTCTCTGAAGAAGAGATATTCATGCTTGTTTTTCAAACTATATGGCGCAATAGAGCTCGTTTTCCATTTTCCTTTTATTTTTTTGTTCTCTCTGTTTCAAATTTTTTTTTAAAAATTTGTCGTAATGTTTTAAAATTTGAAAATTATTTATGTTGAAATAAAAAATAAAGAAAATAAAAAAGAAACATATACTTCATTTATTTTATCTTTCATTTTATTTTTCTATTGCTTTTTCTTTTATTTTATTTCATTTTTCCATTCATCATTTTTTAATGTTCTCAAAAAAATAATTTTTATTTTGGAAAAAAATGATTTTTTAAATTGAGAGAGATAAAGTATATGTTAATTTTTTTTATTTTAAAAATAAAGAATTATGATTTTTGAAATCAATACAATTTTAAAAAAGAAATTCAAAGAATATTTATATATAAAGAAACAAATAGAGAAAAAAGAAAAAAAACTATTAAAATAAAATAGCAAATGGTAATAAGCTCTAGTGCTCCATGTAGTTTGGAAAATATGTACTAATATATTTTCTTTCGTAAAGAAAAATGACCATAGAATGATGAGAGTAAGTGTAGGTGCAACATATTTAAACCACACAAATTTTATAAACATGTTTTTAAAATATAGTGGATATTAGTCCCCATTTTTTACTCAGGATTGTGGAGCTATTAAGCAGATGTAACTATATAATTTCAATAAATGATTAATCAAATGAGTAATTTCTTTTGGCCAGTGAAAAGTAAATGTGATTTTAATTAGGCCTTGGCAAATAAGGATTCGAGTTGGATATGTGCATGGCTTAATATAAATTATTAGCCCATTAAATGGGTGGGCCTAGCCCGGCCCGAATTTGATTGCTTAAACTCTTTACCCATAAGTTTAGCGGGCCAAACTGTCCACCGGGCTGCCCGATCCGGACAAAACATCAAGAAAATTTATTTTGCACAAAAATTAAAAAAAATAGAAATCTTTTTTCAATGTTTAAAATAAAATTATAAGTCACCACATTTACATATAAAACATGATAGTTGTATTATTGCATAATTAATAAACACATCAAATTCATTCTATAAAAGAAAATTGATTTTTGTTTAAGAGAGGTAAGTGAATTTATTATACATTAATTATAGAAATTTTAAAATTTATATTCGCTAGGTAATTAATAATGAAGTAAATGTATTTGATGAATATGGGCGAACCTGTTGGCCCGGATGGACTGGAAGTAACTTTCAAATCTGTCCAAATACAATTCGCACTTGGGCCGGCCCGCCCATGTGGGTATTAAAAGTTGTCTATATCCGTATTTTTTAAAGGGCGGGCTAGGTTGACCAAACATTTAATTTATATGATGAGATAAGATTAATCGTTGAAAAGTTGTGATATAACGTTATGGATGCAATTGTAGTTTTAGGAAATCGAGTCGGAAAAAAGGATTACACACCTAAAAATTAACTTTGGTGCCACCTGATTCGGGGCTACCATTGAAGTTATATAGAAGACAATTCTCAATAATTTTATATTTTGCATGACTATTTAAAAAATTCAAGATCAAACATTGTCATTTGTTAAATTATTTCTAACCGAATTCGTGTTCACTCATAATTAACTTTATGCTACAATCTACGGATGAAAATAAAGACATAGTTAAAAATATTAGTTCTAGATGATAATAAAAATCTTTGCAACCATACAAAAAATATTGTATACCATGAAATTTTTTTTAAACATGAATTTTAAAAAACTGTTGAGGTGTTTGATTTTGAATCTATATATACGGAGTAATATTTTTCATAATCAAATATTAAATGCTAAATAATTTATTTTATTATGATTATTTTTTCCAAAGTAGCACGAGTCAGAATATTATTCCCCCGTTCTCAAAAATACTTCCTCTTTCATTTTTTTCACTTCCAACAAAACACTTCCACTTTCTATTAAAAAATCACTTGTACCATTACTTTTTCATACCATACCTATCACATCATACTTTATCTCTAATAAATCTATCCATCACATGTTACTTTTACCTATCATATCAAGGGCAAAATTAGAAGTCAACTACAATTTAATACTTCCTTATTTTTACACAAAGTCAAAAGAGGAACACTTTTTCCAAACGGAGGGAGTAGTTTCTTTTATGAAAAAAGGAGGTGAAATATTGAGGGTCCGTTTGGTACACGGAATTGATGAAATTGGAATTGAATTGGAATTAAAATTCCATGGGATTCAATTCCATTGAATTGAATTCACCAATTCCAATTTATTTTTTTGCACTACCAATTCAAATTCACATAATTTTTGTGCTACCAAACATAAGAATTGGAATTGAAATCCTCAATTCTAATTCCATAGTTCAAATGTTTGAATTTCTTGTACCAAACGGGACATGAAAGAAATTGGGAGCCAAAGCTTATCCTATCTACCTCCCATGCCCTCCATCTGATTCTGCGGTCTCTTTCTCCTTTCATCTTCTCCAAATCTCACACTATCTGAAAATGGCTTCCACTCTATCAACAGCTACCCTGCGTTCTCCTTCTCATCCCAGTCCGTCTGCAACAAATTCATTGCTTTCTGGCCCCTCCTTTCACAAACAAGCACTAAAATTTCCCCTCCGGCCCCCGAGACTCAACCGCCGAGCGACACTCCTCCGCCCTCTCGCCGCCTTAGACGCGCCCGAGAAGGTGGTGCAGCTCGGGAACGAAATCTCGAACCTCACTCTCGCTGACGCCCAGAAGCTCGTCGAGTACCTTCAGGACAAGCTCGGAGTGTCTGCCGCGATGATGGCTCCAGCCGCCGCCGTCGCTGCACCGGGAGGTCCCAGCGCCGCCGAGGCCGCCCCTGTCGTGGAGGAGAAGACCGAATTTGACGTGGTGATTGAAGAAGTGCCCAGCAATGCGAGGATTCCGACTATTAAAGCAGTTAGGGCTTTGACGAACCTGGCTCTGAAAGAGGCCAAGGAATTGATCGAAGGGTTGCCGAAGAAATTCAAGGAGGGAGTGTCTAAAGAAGACGCTGAAGAAGCCAAGAAACAACTCGAAGCAGCCGGAGCTAAAGTATCAATTTCATGAAATCCTTCATTGAAAGCAAAGGCAATGTTCTATCTCCCTCTTCTCTTTGTTTATTTTTGAACAATTCAAATTTACTTGTACTCATTTGCTGCTAGCACTAGACTTGTTGGATTCACATGCTATGTGTTTTGAGGCATGGAAAGTTTCCCAATCTCTCATTTTAATTGTACCATTTAATTAAATCTCAACCACAAAGATAGTGTGGAAGAAGAAGAAGATGATGATGATGGTGAAACTGTTAAGTAAATATGTCTTGTGGTTGGAATGTGCTGTGTACTGGTGTTTATTGATTTTGTCACTTTGTATGAGGAGAATCTTTTCTGCAATTCTATCACTTTGTGTGAGGGTAGATGGCCTATACAAGAGAAGTTTTAAGGGAGAAAAGAGTGTTGAGAGGAATGAGAGCCTAGTTTTAGAATGGCAGTGCCCCTGCATTCATTTTTTTGGCTTAAATAAACAAAAATATGTCGAAGTGCCCCTACCGGTTACCTCTAGTTTGACACATCCTATTTTTCATGCAAATATGTGCTCATATTTATGTTTATTTTGTGAGCTCATGTTTGCGTGAACAACGAAGAGATGGAAGCTTAGGGTTACCCCATAATAAACATGAAGAAACTTATACTCCATTACTTTACTAACATAGGCCACCAATAGCACTATTAAGGATGATGATGTAAATGCTAGTCCTCTGTCCCATTATGGTTGCCTTGTTCGTTTACAATGTTTAATTGGAATCATTTTAAATATTTTTATATATTGGCTCAAAGTTAAAACAAGTTGCAATCTGCAACAAAGTACTTGTTCCATTGCAATTTTGTGACTAAAATTATGTTGGCTTTCTCATTGCGTTGGAGATGGGTTTCAAATTGTAAATGTTGTGCATGAAAAGTCCCTGAAGTACAAGGCTTTAAGTCTACGCTGCCTCCACACCTTTTTTCCGACCATAGACCAATGGTTCGGCCATTCTGGCATCACTTTGTTGTGAAGGCATCCCAAGAGTATAAAGATATTGAAGTCTTTGTTGATTCAAACAGTAGTAATACCACCACCACCACCGCTGCCAACAGCCTGGTTGAATCCCGCAACAGCGGGGTCAAATTGTAGTTATACCACCATTGAATGCAAACATATTTCAACGTGTTAATATATACACTGCCAAATACCACTCATTGCCGGTCACACCACTGAAGACAAAGATGAGGGTTCAAAACGATTCAACCTTTGAGCCTTTTAATGGGGATGAAGGTGAGGCCTGATGCTATGTACCATGTTAGTGATGGTGATTCGATTGCTGATTTTGATGAAGCATTAGATCATCGCCCTGTTATAAGCTTTAGCACAGGCTGGTTTGGTTCTAGAACTAGATGTTCATAGCCACAAGGTGGGAGGAACCGTAACCGGAACTGGTAGGGAGGCTGTTTTCTGGTTCGGTGCTACCATCGGTTCCCGGTCCAATTTTGGTTTGGTGCTACCAGCATTTTTCAAGAAGATAACTGTGCTGAAAATAAGATAAAAACAAAATTTTCAAGTTTCCTTTCCTGCCCTCCAACCAGAGAAGAGAAAGGGTGATGGGAGAAAAGAGCATTGGGAGCCTACCATTAGATTTTGAGTGCCCTTTCATTCCTTATTTGGCTTAAACAAGTGGACATTGCCATTTGTATGTGTACTCATGGAAGATAAGTGGTGAAAAGGTAAGCTGAGGGAGTTTGGACAGGTAAGGAAGACAAGTGTACATTGCTCCAGTGATGAAATGCGGAAAGCTTGCAATAGTAGGGTAGTAGGCTTGAGAAAGTGTAGAGATAGACTTATGAATGAGCTGATTAAATGTGACTTAAGACTTCAAGATCTTAGTATCAAAGGAGTTGGGTAGGCCTTCGGACCTTAGTTTGTTGTTTATGCTAATGTTTTTTCCCCTTAGTCTATAGCCAGTGCACGTGCGCTTTCCGTGCTTTGGGCTTAGTTGGTGGTGTCAACATGTGCATTTTTTGTTTGTTTTCTTACCCCTTACCCCGCACAATGTGCGGGAGCCTTTAAGGCACTAGGGCAATGTTGTGGTTGTTGTTCTTCATTTACTTTGTGCTTCGGCATTTGAATTGGAGGTCTATTGAAAACAAATTCTCTACTTCTGAATAGGGGTAAAGTTTGCCTACGCGAACCTTTTCCGGACCCCACTTCTTGTGGGATTTTACTGTGTTATTGTTGGCGTTTGTATGGGTATCTTTGAAGGGAAGAAAGAAACTTGGGGACAACTTGTGATTGTTGTGAGTAATTAATTCTCCATTGCTCTCTAGTAATCCTAGACCACTAATAGCATTGTGAAGGATTAATAATCCACATTCACTTTCTGCATTGTTTGGGTGTACGTTCTTTGGCTATACAGATAATCTGAGAATAGCCAATGGATTATTAGTGCCATGGATTTTGTTGTTGCTTCATAAAATAGAAGAATCTCTAATGTAGAAAGATCATTCCATAGTCACTTCATAGATATGAATGTTTGTAGTGTCGAACGAATCATCGTAGGATCCTCAAATGAGCTAGTGTGATGTCAAAAGAATCTCCAATGTAGAAATATGGACATGGGACCGATACCACTGAAGTTTTGGAACCGCTGGTTCCCGACATGGTAGGAGGTGGCACCGACACGTGGAACCGTTGGTTCAGTTCCCCGTATCGATTTTTGGTATTTTCTTTTTATTTATTTATTTCTTAAAATTAATTTAATGTGGAGTATTGTATTTTGATTACAAAAAAACAAAGTGTAAAATTGTAAACTGAAGTAATCAAATTATTCAAAATTTCAATATTAGGATGTTCTCTCTGTCTAGATTTAATCTTACTCCAAATAATTTTGACCTTCTCACATTTTAAGAGAGGTTGACTGTGTGGTAAATTTATCCAAAAATACCCTTACTACATAAGTTGAAATATGTAGATTATTAAAAAATTTTAACGAAAGGGAGGATATTTACGTCTAGACACATGTATCGAGAAATGAAAAGGCTGACATAAAAGAAGAGAAATAAGAAGATTAATATTAATTTAATCAAGCCTAATTTCTACGGAGTAGGTCACGAGTAAAAAAAGTAAAATTTGACTGCAATTTTACACAAGTACATATGGAGTAACATTTAATATTTTAATCGGACTATATGTCGGAACATCTATTTCACCTTGTGGTTGTGGCTTCAATTACGTGTTGTTCATTCATAGTATAACTTGCTTCTTGTTATGGAGGAGCAAATACTAACCCGATACCGAAAATTTTCAAAAAACCTGAGGAAATCGAATCGAAAAAATATCGCTAAAATACCAAACTGTTCCGAACCATGAATAGGTGTTGATGAGATTTGTACCATCGAAAGACATTAAACTCTAAAATTTCATCATACTCACAAGGAATCATTACTTACAAAAATAAAAAAATAATATATTTTGTACTATTGAAACCATCCAAAGCACCAATAATAATAATAATAATAATAATAATAATAATAATAATAATAATAATAATAATAATAATAATAATAATAGTAATAATAATAATAATAATAATAAATCCTATTTCCAAACAATGACTTTCGAATTTAAAGTATCTCTTCGATCCATGAATAATGGAATGCTAGATTTTGAAAGACAAACAGTTCCGGGTTAGTACTTTCGGGCTTTCGGCCTCCGTCCAATACCTGAATTAAACGGCCCAATATCAACCCCCCTCCCGGTATTTACCCTAGCCAATACCCCGACTACTACATAACCCCATCGGCCTAATGGCTTCTTCTTCATCTTCCTCCCTCAAACCCTTCTTCCCCGATCTGCAGATTTCTCTTTCGCATTTCTGGTTCCCGATTTCTCTTTTAATGCGCAATCGTTCTGCGGATTTCCATCGCAGATCGGCGTTTTTCAACGATTGCGGCGAGGATGACGATGCTTATTATTTTTCTGACACCTCTTGTATGAGGGGAGCCGTCAAAAGCTCCTCGCTGAGCAGATTAAGCAATGATCTGAGCCTCTTCTCATCATCTCTCTATTTCTGTTGATTTTATTTTTGATTTTTCACAAATATAATTAATATTTGTGATAATCTACTGTTATTATTATTTTCATTTTAATTATCGAGCAGAAATTCAGGCAACCCCTTTGCGAAAATAGAAATTGTAAAGGAAGGTGTTTATCTGCTCGTAGATCAATTGTTCTTTTGCACTTCAGATTTGCTGAGATTTTTGGTCCTTGAAGCTGGTCTAGTAGGCATCAGTACATTAAATTTTTGCAAAATCATTTTTTGATGTACTAATTTGACGATTTTCTTTAATTTTTTGGTTCATTAAATGTGTTTTTTTAGATTGATGTATATGCAAAGTGGGTTAGAAACTAAATCAGTCTGTAACTTTAACTCTGGGTTGAATTGGATTAACTCTTGTCAGTCTATAGCAAATTTTTTTTTTTGGGGGGGTGTGAGAATAAATTCCCGCAGAGGGAAGATTTGGAGTATGCATTTCTTGAGAGGGAAAATCGGCTTTAGTAAATCCGATTTTTATTTTTATTTTTTTTTGAAAATCGGCTTTCACAAAGGCATTTTTTGTAAAAAAAAAATTAAATAAAAATTGGCTTTCACAAAGCCGTTTTTTGTAAAAAAATTATTTTTAAAAATGGCTTTCATAAAGCCGAAATTTTCATTCCAAAAAATTGCACAGATGACTGATTTCATAAAGATTTTTTTTAATAAAAAAAAATATCAATATTTAATTTGTTAAAAAAAATCAATCAATAGAAATTTAATAAAGAGAGACTTGTTTTTTAAACAAATCAAATTTTAAAAAAAAATCTAAATAATTTTCAGAAACTTGTTTTTTAAACGAATAGTAGGCAATATTGAAAACATAAATATATTAAAATATCAACAGCAAATTACATTCTCAACATCTGAAATAAATAATAATTACAATACCTTCCCTGATACAAATTAAAAAAAATTATAAACTAAATTCATCTCTTTGTCCTGAAATCCATCTCGCCCTGGTATCGATTGCGTTGACGTCCCCCTAAACGTGGAATCTCATCTGTTGGCCGTTTGGGAGGTAGAACCTTAAAGCTGCCAACATCTAAATTTTGAGGGAAAAGAAGAATTATACCACCATAACAACTCAAATAGTTTTGAACTGAGTACTTAGCCGGTAATATGTTGTGTGGAACTTGTTGTCGAAAAGAGTGGTAAATATCATGAACATGAACACACGTTATACTATTAGAAGTCCACTGCCCACAAGTGCATACACTACTAAACAAATTGACCAAGTAGCTGTAAACAGAAGAAGGATCTGTTCGAGATGTGTGAGTCACTACGTATTGGTTGTTACTGTAAATGAATACCGTGCACCAAATGGGTTGTCTTCGCGAGGAGGCCCGTGTGGATTGTTTGGAACATTATTTACTATGGGTCTTATGGTCAAAATCCGAGTCCACGCCCATAATTGCAATAGAAGAAGACAACCCCCGGGACGCGTTCGCGTGTTAGTCTTCAACGCAGCCTTACAGAGCGAAAAATATAATCGCGCTAATACGGCAGAGTCCCAACTAAAAGTAGATGTTTCATTAAAATCTGGTAAGTATCTCATGAAATCAATTGGTGCGTACTTACCCGAAGAATTTGGAAATAATAAACCACCCATATAAGCATATATGAGCCTAGCGGTATATTGAGCCACCATCTGATCAGGTCATTCATTATTTGGTTGAATGGTTTGTCTCTCAAAAATAATGGCAATCTTGAATTGGTCAAAACGACCAAAATGGGTGTCATCGGTGGTCTACATCAAAACATCTCTAAATAAGACATTTCGTTACTCAATATTTAAATCAAAGCCCATGACGGGGAGTCCATCAATCGGAAGTCCTAGTAAGCATTCCACGTCCTGTAAGGTGATACCCATCTCACCGAAAGGAAACTGAAATGCGTGTAACTCCGGTCTCCAACGCTCAACAAGAGAAGTGATTAGACCATTGTCTAATCGGATAGGTTGCACATTGCACTTCATAAAACCCTGACCGGTGCAACATTTCATAAACTCTATCATAAAAAAAAACGTTGGAAGACTACCTTCGTAGCGAACCGGAGAGACTTTGTTATCTATAAAATTCGGGTTATGCCACAACTCACGCGAACGATGTGTAGCTTGTAAAGTAAGAATGTCCCTCGATCTAGGACCCGCTATTTTTCTCTCAGGATTATACATTATGCTTCAAAAAAAATTCTAGTGAGCTTCTATCTACTCATAGTACAATAAAATGGTTAAAAAAATCTTGTTTAAAAAAATATGCATTACATATTGTAGAATTAAAAAAATATGCATTACACATTGTAAAATTTAAAAAAAAATGCATTTCATATAGTAAAATTTAAAAAATATGCATTATATATTGTAAAAAAAAATATGTATTACATATTTAAAGAACTTATAAAGAATTATTCTAAGAAAACATACCTCAACTTCTTGGATGATTATGGAAGAATAGATAAATTTTGATTATTTAGTGAGAAAAGAAGAGAGAATGTGAGATGTAGTTGAAGAGATTATGTATTTTCTGTAAAAAAAAAGGAAAAGATTTGATTATTTGTAGTGGAATTGAGAGGAGTTATAGAAGGGATTAAGTGTGGGAATAGAGAGAGGTTGAGTGTAAAATGAAGAAAGGAAGGGTGTTACTACGCAAGCACTGCGCATACCTGTAGCCTTTTACTGTAGCTCTGAAATGGCTTTGTAAAGCCGAAAAAAATTAAATTAAAAATAAAAAAAGGAAATTGGCTTTATGAAATCCGAAAATCATTAAAAAAAATAAAAAAAAACGACTTGTCAAAAGCCGATTTTCCTTCTCAGGAATTGACCTTTCCCATTTGGGAATAATATTCAAAAAATTTTCCCTCTTAGCGAAACCACCCGGGGTGTGATCCGTGGTTTGAAATTCAGAACACTCAAAAAGGTTTTCTATTAGTGTATGTCAGTCATATTTAAAGACGAACAGTAGTAATGCTTTTGTTTTTGTATTTGAGAATAAATAGGAAATATAATAGTCTGTTATATTGGTAATCTTAAAATGATTTTTCAAATTTTTTATTTAAAAATTATTTGTTTTGGCTTTTGAAAAATCCGATTATACCTAATTTTTAAGTTTGTATTTATTTAATTGTGAATAATGTGGTTTAATAGTATTTTTGTTTTTGGCTTAAAAAAAATCGATTCTCTATTTTGATTGCATTCCGCTATGTTTCTTTTGTTTTTGGCTTATACAAAGCCGTTTTTCGTAACTTTTCACATTAATTTATGCATAACTAAATAAGACAAAAATAAGTTATTTTTCAATGTAGAATTTAAATTTTTTTATTTTTAAATTAGATTTAATAATGTCTTGTATAAGAAATAATGTAGTGATTGTGGATATTTATTTTAATAATGACTAAGGAATAATTATCAACAATCTTATATTGAAAAATAAAAATATGTACGTATATATTGAGAAAGTTATTATATTTTAGTTTTATTTAGTTAAATTTCTCTTAATCAATCTCATAGCTATCTCTTCAACAATCAGTTTTTTAAAGTTAGATGTATGTGTCTTAATAAAATTAATTTATTAATTAATATTTAAATACCCCTTGGTTCCTATGACATTATGAACTATTGTCATGGGAGGATCCGGGGTTGCTCTAATGTCTTGTTGATAAAATTGACGGTTCCCCACTAAACCCCCCGGTAAACCCCCCACCGCGCTCCAATCCAAACACACACTCTCATCCCCTTCAATTGCACTCCACAAGTTAATTTTGATTTTGATGTCAAATTTTGGACTTCCGATTTATGGACTTTCCGTCCCGAGTTTCCCTTCTTTTATCACTAAATATTTAAAGTTTAATTATTATTCCATAATCATCCTAAAAGTTGAGACATGTTTTCTTAGAATAATTCTTTATAAGTTTTTTAAAATATGTAATCCATATTTTTTAAAATTTTACATTTTGTAATGCATATTTTTTTAACAAGATATTTGTATTTTTTAAAAATTTTATTGTACTATAGGTAGATAGAAGTTCATTAATATTTTCTTGGGTAATAATGTATGACCTTGAGAAAGAAATAACGGGTCCTACATCGAGAGATTTTTTTACTTTACAATCTAAACATCGTCCGCATAAAGTGTGTCGTGACCCAACGTTTATAGACAACAAAGTCTTTCCGATTCGTTACGAAAGTTGTCTTCCAACGGTTTTTAAAGATGATAGAGTCTATAAAACTTAACGTTTATAGACAACAAAGTCTCTCTGATTCGTTACAAAGTCTCTCCGACGAACGTTGAGTCATGGCACACTTTATGCGAAAGATGTTTATATTGTACTCCCTCCGTTCCAGAGTATTTGTCCACTTTCATATTTACACACCATCCAATGCACTTCTTTAATCCATTTTATCTTGTAATTTGTTAATTAAAAAATTATAGAAATTATATATTAATAATCTATATGTTAAGACAAATCAAACAAGATCACACATGACTATATTTAGGCTTACACATTGAGAGAATTTGATGAGTCAAAGTGCTTAGATGAACAGTTTCAAAAGTCAAAAGTGGACTAATATAGCGGGACGGAGGTAGTAAAGTAAGAAAGTTTCTCGATTTAGGACCCGCTATTTCTCTCTCAAGGTCATACATTGCTCCAAAAAAATATAAGTGAACTTCTATTTCCTCATAGTACAATAAAATGGTTAAAAAATACAAATACCTTGTTTTAAAAAATATACATTACATAATTTAAAATTTTAAAAAAAATATGGATTACATATTTTAAAAACTTATAAAGAATTATTCTAATTAAATATATCTCAACTTTTTGAGTGATTATGGAATAATAGTTAAACTTTAAATATTTAGTGATAAAAGAAGGGAAAGAGTATGATATTTTATTGAAGAGATTATGTATTTTGTGTGAAAAGAAGGAAAAAATAGATTATTTATAATAGAATAAGAGAGTAAAACTGGTAAAAAACTAACCGATGCAAGTGCAATAATTAGGGTTGAAACCGCTTTCTTAGAGCCGGAAAAAAAAATTAAAAATTGGAGTAAAAAAACAATAAAAAAAAATTGGCTTTATGTAGTCCGATTTTCCTTGCCAGAAAATTGCCCTTTTAACTGGAAATTAAGTGCAAAAAAGTTTCCCTCATAGGGAAACCACCCATGATATATGGATGCTATATATTTTAGTTCATACTCCTCCCTCCCCCAGTTTTTGTCTACTTTTGACTTTTGGAACTATTCATCTAAGTGTTTTGACTCATCAAAGATAGTCACATGTGATCTTGTTTGATTTGTCTTAACATATAGATTATTAATATATAATTTCTATAATTTTTTAATACACAAATTACAAGATAAAATGGATTAAAAAAGTGCATTGGATGGTGTGAAAAAATGAAAGTGGACAAATACTCAGGGACAGAGGGAGTATATTTTAGTGTAACTAGAATAATTATTTAACCAAAAGTATTACTCCCTCCGTCCCATAAAGTGTTACCCATTTTGACTAAAGTTGAAATTAAGGGAGGGATAATTTTGTGTTGACTTTCCAAAAATACCCTTGATGTGATGGGTAAAAGTAGGATGTGATGTGTAGATTATTAGGAAAAAGGTATGATGTGATAGGTAGGGTTTGAAAAAGTGAGGGGTAAAAGTGGTTTTTTAATAGAAATGGGTAAGGGATTGTGGGACACAATTTTTATGAAACGTGTAAATCTTTTTGGGACGGAGGGAGTATAATATTAATCAAAGAAGTTTGGCGGTACAAAGTGCACGCTTTGTTGAGTTTGTAATGATAAAAGTTCTGGCTTAACGGAGATTACAATGAGGTGCCGCCTCCTTGGCGAGAGTTCGGAGGTAGCGCCCCCGAGCAAGGTTCAAGAGCGGCAACCTCTATGGGGTCCAATGGGTAGAGCACCCGGTTGAGGTAAAATTTTTTTATTTTGGACAGAGTGCTGAAATAAATTTTTAATTTTTATAATATGGGTTAACAATTTTTTCCCAAAAAACCGCATCTAAAATTTGGGCGACTAGACGTGAGTTTTAGAAAAGAGAAGTGTCCGCATCCTACCGCGGCTATAAAAATTCGGCAAAAGTCTTGGTCGCCACATGGAGTTTGAAAATACATCGTAATATATACTTATTCTTGGTCAATAGTTTGAGTTTTATCCGATTGGTTTTGGGTTGAACACCCAAAATATATATTTAATCTGAAAATGCTTTCACGATCTCAAATTAATCCATGTTATCTACCGATTTCCTCAATAATGTAGTTATTTCCTTCTACGAGTACATTCTTTTTTCTTTTATATGTAAATCAAACTTAATCTATTTTGTTATTTCAAATTTCAAAAGTCAATTATTTCATTCAAAGTATCTCGAAACCTTTTTCTTTCAGATAAATATTTGTACGAATGCCATATAAAAACCTAAACATTCTCACAATCACACATAAACAAATAAGGATCATAAACACAATTATTAATTTTTCAATTTTTTTCAATTTGCTTATGTGAAAAAAAAAACTATAATTAACTTAAAGGTCCACGAAATGAAGAACTTTTTCAAATGTCTCAACATATAAAAAAAACGTTAAAACTTTAGTAGTAATTCTTACATTTGAAAGTCGTTGAGATTAGGCGATTAAGCTTTGAATTAGACAATTCGAATCTGCCACCACTTTGGGACTCGTTTGGCGCATCATCCAAAACACTGCTCATATCAATTCCGGTCTCTCTTCCCAGGCTTTCAATCTCCTCTGGGCTGCTTATGATCTTATCGAAGCAAATGTATCTCCCAAACGCGGTGCTATTACTCATCTCCTCGTACACCGCCACGTGCGCCTTTGCCAATGTGTTCACGTCCACGGTGGCAAGCACCCCTTTCCTATACATCTCTTTTGCTCCTAATTTCAAGCAAATTAATTTTATATACCCAAACACTTTTATTAAATTTTTGGATAAGAGTACAATTAAAATATATACAAACATTAAAAAAAGTAACATTTTAGTTTAAAAATCATATAAAATTGGACAAAAGAGAGTGGGGTAAATGAGCATGTGAGTTTATACATAAATACACGGGACCACGAGACCGAATGGAATTGGATAACATGTAGAATGTCACTTATTATAAAATGGTTTTGTTTATAAATTGGTATAAAGTAAAAAAAAAATATACAGTAAATAACATAGTCCAAAACATTAAAAATTTTACAAAAGACTATGTGACAAAAATATTTTATTTTATCAAATGATTAACAAAAAACATAGGTAAATAATAATGGTCGAAAGATTGTAATAATAAATAGGAAGTTTATTCAGAGACGGAGGGTACAAAATTTTATATATGTAAACTTTATTTTTAATTATATACGAAATATTAATTTATAAATAAAATCATTTTATGAATCACGGATTTTTACACGTGGTTTGAAAAGAAAGGTAAATTTGGAATTTTATACTCCCTCCGTCCCCATTTTAATTACAATATTTTCTTCTAGAAATCTGTTGTTTATTTACGCAATTTCATTAAGTATTTCATACAACAAAATATTCTTGTCACCTCTTGTTTTGTAGAACTTTTAACGTAACTTTTTAATATGTAATTTTTATATTTCTTATTGATACATCAATTTGTAAATAAAATAATTTTAAAAAAAATCTTATTTGTCATTAAATTGGAGACGAAAAGTGTACCTTTGAGGTATGCAATGGTGGAAGTTGAATTCCTATGACAAAAGTGGGGCCCGGTGATGAGGCCGGAGCAAATGGTGGCAAGCTTCAACCCATTCCCCCGATGAGCTATTATTTCCCATGCTGCCCTTTCCGCCTTTACCTTCCCCAAGGCGTACCAAAGCTGCATTAAAAATAAAATAAAATATCTTTAAAAAATATCATTGCCATGAAGCCATTAACAAAAAAGAAAAAACTTTGATACCAATCAATTGAGTTACGTTCACTGGTGAAAACTTTGTTACATAGTAAAGTTACATCATTGGTAGGGGCAAGCGTTGTATGCTAATCCATATATTCAAACCGGAAACCAGGGAATTCTTGTGGTGGGGCCGCAATGTGATGGGCCGACTAGTATATAAAAACTTTATCTTTCAAATTGTCTAAGCATAGAACTTATGAAAATATCAAATAAAGATCTATTTTTTTACCACAAATTTGTGATCAAAGATCAATTTATCTGTTCTTTATGACCGTTTAACCTCGGGTATGATGGAACTTGTGGAGATGGAGCTCAACTTCTTAATTATAAGAGGGAGGGAGGAGAGCTTAAACCCACCTACCAAATGAGTTCTCTAAGTCACCCAAAAGGGTAGATAGCCAATAATGTTGAGGACAAGAAGTGGTGGGGTGGTACAAAACTTGAAAGACAAGATTAGTAAATTACTCTCCAACTTTGAATATTTGTTAATTTTTGACTTTTTGGTCAAAATTAATAAAGTTTGAATTCAAACTAAATAAAAATAATATTAGATATATATATATATATATATATATATATATATATATAGTTTTATTAGTTTACTGCATCTAATATTTTCAAAATATTATTTTATCTAATTAATATAAAATATATATTTTATTTAATTATACGTCAAAATTTGAAAAAAGTTGACTAAAAAAATCAAGATTGGACAAACGCTCAAGAAGGAAGGTAGTACCTTTTTAGCAGTGCAAAAGGACTCATCACTCCAGCTGTCATGATCTATTTTGTGTGGGGAAGAGTGGTTAAGAGGGGCATTATGGTCTTTCCAAACACATGCGAGCAGAGACGATGTAAGCACGCAGTATTTAACGGACATGGCACGTGCACATGCCTCAACCACATTCTTGCTCGTCATCACTTCCACTTCCGCCATAGATTTCTGCATTTCATTCAAGCTATATATTACTCCTCTTCTAAAATGTTTCCCAAAGTATCAAAATGAAATCAAATTTTAAGTATGCTCAATTTATTTTATTTTAAAATTAGCTTAAAAATAAAAAATAAAATTTACATATTCAAAAATTGCGTCAAAATTTTGTTTCAGATAACAACTTACAGACATTTGTATCTTAATATATTGATGAAAACCTACCAGTAAACAAAAGTTATCGTATTTTTTGGAAAATAAATTGTACCATATGCATTTTTTTCGGGACGACCGGACAAATGAAATACTCCTTCCGTCCCCAATTTGATTATAATTTTTTTCTCTCCTCTCGATAACTTTTGTTTGTTTACGCGATATCATTAAGTATTTGATAAAATAAAATATTCTTGTCACTTCTTGTTTTGTGTAACTTTTAACATGGTTTTTTAATATGTAATTTTAATTTTCTTATCGATATACCGATTTGTAAATAAAATGATTTCAAATAACGAGATACTTCTCTTCGTAAGCCCCAATTTGTGATCAAATTGGAAACGAAGGGAGTAACATTCATCTTTATTTTAGGACAGATTGACAAAAACATAAAGTTTTGTAAGAAAGCTAAAAAAGCAAGAAGAAAACAAAAAGGGCCCATCATCCACTCTTTTGGTTTGTACCATAAAATACTTTTATCTATCATAATAGATTCTCTCTAAATGTCTTTTATTTTTTTACAAAGAATGATTATTTTAAGAGAGACATGGTTCATTTTAGAAGCAGTCTCAGCGTTATTATTTTGAAAAAACTATCCTGAAACACAATGTTTAGTTGTTAAGAAAAAATAATTTGGGAAACTTAGTTGTTCATGAATATTTGGTTGTAGTAAAAATTACATTTTAAGACATATTTGATCTATTGTATTTACAATAAAACATTATTTAACACATATAGAATAAAAAATACAAAAACGACAAGAAAATCCAATACAAAATTAACCAAAAAAAAAGAAAAGAAATTTAACACATGAGGCTGAGCAAAACCTGTAAAAAGTAAACATTAAACAAGGTGGCACTCGTGGTGGTGGATGTTAAATAATTGTACTAATTAGATACTAGTTAGAGAAATAAAAACACATATGGTACTAATTACATTGCGAAATTCACTACGGAGTATGTTTTAGGATTATATAAGTAAATAATCCTTTTCAAAATTCAACTATTTAATAAGTCAAATCAGCTAAATTAAAATCAAACACCTAAATTATGCTGAAAAGACATTTTCCAAACAAAACCTATATCATTTTCCAAACGTTTAACCAAACAATAGAATTTAATTTTAGTTTCTCAAAATAATAATTCAGAAAGCATTTTTTAGAAATCATTTTTCATCTATTCAAACACGTGCTTAATGAAAAATAGAGAAAGTGAAAGATCCTTAATTACAAGTCAACACAAGTTTTATGACTGGCATTTAACATGCATGTTTGGTTGCTCATAGTAATAATTAGAGAGAAGGAAAATAACATTGTCATGTTCCTTATTAATTGGTGAAACTTTTTTGTACTAGAGTAATTTTTAATGAGTAAATTTTTAAAATGGCACTCAATATTCAATAACGATGTGTTTTCTTGAAACAGTCCTTTTTTTATTTGTCTCTCATAATAAATCTTAGACACTATCAAGGATATACTTGGAAGAGTGATGTTTATATGATTCCAATGTCTACATTTAAAATATGGATCTTCTCATATTTTTTATGGGCTTGAATGTGGATATTTTTCTTTCTTGCAAAGGTCCACTTCTTTTATGCTCTAAATGCACTAAGGTTCATAAAATGAGCATGGATTTTAGATGCACGAAAGAATTTGCTTACTTGAAAAGTATATTTAGACAGTAATATTAAGTATTCCTATTTAAGATAAATACTGTGTTTTAGTTAGTTTCTATTTGATTGTGTTGGAAGTGTCTCGTTTATATAATTCACTATACACTTAAAAATTTAATGAGAAATATTATTATTCTAATAATCCAAGAGTATATTTTTCTTCTACTTCTTAAACTCTGTAACAAGTGGCAGGGAGTCCTCCATCTTACAAAAAGATTTCATATTTCTTTTTTTTTGTTTTTCCAAAAAAAAGTTCAATTTTTTTAAACTTTTTTTGGACAAATGTTTGTAATTCAAATGTTTCTTTTCAATTTTATTTTTTTTCTTTGTTTGAATGGCAAGTCAAAAATGAAATTGCATAGAAATGGTCAAGGAACCAACTCAACCAAAAGCTCAAGCTTGTGGTTGTGGCCCAGGAACAGTTATTTATATTCTAACACGCCCCCTCACGTGCAGGCGTAGTTTTTTTCGAGCCTTGCACATGAAACCTTAAATTTTTTTTAAACTGGGTGGCGCTGAGTTTCGAACATGTGACCTCTTAGTCTACGAGGCTCTAATACCATGTCAAGGAACTAACTCAACCCAAAGCTCGAGCTTGTGGTTGTGGCCCAGGAACAGTTATTTACGGAGTATATTCTAACAGAAATAAAAAAAAGAGAAAGTAAGAGAGAATAATAAAGAGAGATCGAGGAACTGACAGAGTAGCCAGAGAGGCCGGCGGGGTCGACGAAAGCAGCGGTGTGGATTAAGCCACGACAGCCAACGAGAGCCTCCGACAAGCTCTCCACCGCGGTGGACCTCGCCATCACTGCCTCCGCCACGTTGCTGCCGTTCCAGCCCCTCATTTCACCCGATTCTTCCATTTCCCTCACCTTCTCCAACTCCTCTGCAACCACAATTTCCATTATCATATCTGTAGATAGGGACCATTAGTAGAATTGTATCCTTGTAGGTACCCCTCTTACACTTTTCATTACTCAAAAATCACAAAAATTTTTTGTTTATTTTTATATTTTTATTTGATAAAATAAAGTCTCTTTTTTTGTAAAATTATTTATATTTTTTTAAATATAAAAGTTTTATTTTATACTCCCTCAGTCCAAATTTTGATTTTTATCTCTCCTTTGATAACTTTGTTTATTTGTATTTTTTCATTGATTATTTGAAAAAATAAAATATTCTTTAATGTCGTGAGGCTTATGGGGATGATTATGATAGGAGTGATGCTAGGTAAAACTAAATAAAAATGGATGGTAAAGAAGCATATATTGTTCATTTGAAGTGCATCTTTAGTGTACCCTTAGCATCTCCCTTTACACAGTCTTAGGCCCCGTTTGGTACACATAATTCAAATTATGGAATTAGAATTGAGGACTTCAATTTCAATTCTGGTGTTTGGTAGCACAAAAATTATGTGGATTTGGAATTGATATTGCAAAAAATGAAATAGAATTGGCATAATTCAATTCTATGGAATTGAAACTCATGGAATGCCAATTCCAATTCCATCAATTCCTTATACCAAATCGACCCTTAATGAAATTACAAATCAATAATTTGTGTGGTGGCTATTTCATAAGGAATATGATTGATTTAACTTGTCAATTATCATGAGGATGTTGCTATACTTACTTTTATTATTATTTGTTAAATAGACTATTTTATCATTAAAAATATATAAAAAAATATTTGCACTAAATAGCACTAAAATTTAAATTATCTTTCTAAATAGCATTTAAACTATTTTATTCCTTAAATACTCCGTATCACTTAATAATGTCCAGAAGGAGGAATAATTTCTAGTGATGGCAAACATTTACTTGAATAAAAACTAATAGATAATGACTAAAAGTGCTACATTAGAAAAAAACACATATAATTTTATTTAGGAAAGTCATTATGTTTTAGTGTTATTTAAGTAAATTCCTCATATATAAAAAAAAAATCAGATGTCAACCAACTTTTAATGACAAATTATTCTATTTTACATAAATTAAACAAATTTAATCATGATAAAAGTGGATATAGGGTCTATTTGAGAATAGTGTTAGCCTTTTGAAAAGGCTATATACGGGCAACGTTTAGCGTTAGCATTTTCAAAGTAATCTGCACCATTAAAAATTTATCCAAAACGTTAACGCTAATCTCGAACGTCATTCCCAAATAGGACCATGAAGATATAGAAATACCAAGTTTTTTCCCAAATCTTAAATGCTTGCTGGGGCTATTAACGTTTCCGAAATTTAGGTGTGCATTTATATGCAAGTTATGCCACATTGTTTTGGGGGTGCAATCTTGGCCTTAAACTAAACCACTAGTTTTGATGGGAAGGAGGTAATAAGACTTCATCAAATGTGGAAAATACATGCAATCTCTCTAACAATTGTCCTATTTGTTAGAAAGAGTATTTTCAATTAGAGTTAGGTTCCGTTTGATACACCGAATTCAAATTATAGAATTGGAATTGAAAATAAGAATTTTAATTTTGCTGTTTGGTAGCACAAAAAAATGTAGATTTGGAATTGTTTGTGTTAAAAATGAATTGGATTGAAGAATTCAATTCCATCCTAATCACATCTATAAAATTTCGAGTCTCAATTCAATTCTAATTCTATTAATTCCGTATACAAAATGGACTCTTAAAGAAAAATAAATTAAATACGAAAATGAAAAAATAAAAATGTAGGATAAATAATAAAAATAATAAAAAATTACTATTATAAAAAATAAAATGAAAGGATATAATAAAAAAATACTGATAATAATTTTAAAATAGATAACAAAATAAATACTGATAATACTTTCCCTCCTTTTTCCATTCCCTCATATCCATTCCTTCTACTCCCCTCCCTTCCAACCAATTATACCTTAAATTGCAGTGGCGGATCCAGGATATTAAATAGTAGGGGTCACATTTCGAGTGGTCTTGGACAGCTTCCCAATTTTTTTATACATGCAATGCGCGACTTTAAAAAAAATGAATTTACCCTTAAATAGTTACTCAAATAGTAAAAAAATAAAAAATAAATTTTTTTAATGCCAACATTATAAATTAGTTTAATTATCACTCTGTATATCTTTAGTGTACTACTCGGTACTTTATAATTTATCTTTGCATTTTAAAATATTTCACTTTAAAATTATAGTTTTTTAATATCTAAATATTTGACTTCTCTTATTTTATTATTACTTAATACTATTAATTGAGGTCTCTAATACTTTTTATTAGGGTCTCTAATAATTTTAGTTGGGGTCATATATTACATAACTCTAAAAAGAATTAAAAATTTAAAGTATCATAATACAAAGTACTAACTTTTTCAAGTATAATACTTCGTCTTCCCGAAATGAATAGTATTGTCACTATTACATCTTTCGATAACTTTTGCTTGTTTGTATATTTTAAATAATAATATGATAAAATTAAATATTTTTGTGATCTCTTATTTTTTAAAATTTTTTATATACTTCTAAACGCTGTAATTTATACTTTTTATCTCCATGCTAATTTAAAGTTAAAATGATTTTAAAATGATGTGATTTTGTACGCTGTTCGATGTGCAACATCTAATATGGGATAGAGGGAATATAAGAAAAGACTATTTAAAGAATAAATCTTAATGATAAAGCTTCATGTAGAGAACTACGGAGTATAACTGGAACTAATTAGGAAAAACACATCATTAAATTGACACATTTTGAGAATATACTCAAAGACTTAGAATTATCCTACCTAAACTAGTCCAAATATTTCTTCAAGATACAAGAAAAGAAAAGAAGAGTTTCAACTTTCAAGTCTTGTAAGGACTGATGTTAAAGAGAGTGATGTTCCTAATTTATCAACCCAATCGAGCTATACCATAACCACCAAACTTTACCCCTCCTCATTAATGTAACCTATGAAATATATTCTTCAAGAGATCTTAAATTAATTTTTAATTCATATAACTAAAAAAATGCACAAGATATAAAAAGAAATCAATAAATCGTACCACAAAAATTCTATAAAAAGAAATAGAACTTAATTTTTAAACATTCTAGAAGAAAAGTACTCTAAAAAATTAAATTGAGAGATGAAACTATTATTGATTTAAGTGTCTTTAAACTATACTCCGGTCCCAGTGTCCAAACCAATGAAAAATGGAGACATACCACGCTCCAATTTTCATGGTGTTCCGTTTAAAAAAATTGACAGTTCATATCTCTTAATTTTTCTGTAAACCCGTCTACCCAGTCCGATCTAAATTCATTGGTGGCTCGGAGGGTATGTAAGTTGCGCACCCGCATAGGGCTCCCAAATTTTTGGGGGTCCAATATTACTAAATGTTCATTATTCTAGTTACTTGATATTTTTAAATTTAATATAAATTTATATTCTAATATTTAAATTGTTATAGCAGTGGTTATTAAAAATCCAATCTAACACTAATTGTAAAGCACAAAATACTCTGCAAAAAAACCCAGCACATGAATTTTGCTCATGGCCACAAATTTATACTCTTTCTATCCAAATGATATTACCATTTGACTAGTAAAAATTTGTAAACTTTAATCTCAAGTGTGAAAATATATATTTCGTCCTGATATAAATGTAATTTAAATAATTTCCTTTGGAACCATAGTTTTGAAATATTAAATACTTATAAAATATATTTATCTATAAATTAAATGTGAATATTAATGGTCAAAATATCACATTAAACCGAATGAAAAGTCCAATGAAAAGATATTCCCTAAGCAAATTGTGCTTACATGAGGATCTTTTATTCTTTTATACGGAGTATAAAAAGACATTTATATAAAAAAAAGTTCATAGAATTTGCCTCCCGGAGTATAACTTTGGAGTAAGGGAAATTGGAGAAGGGGAGAAAGGGCGCGCACCTTCGTTATCGACGAGGATCCGGACGGAGTAGCCTCGGAGAAGGAGCTGATTCACAATTGCGATTCCGGCGAAGGAAACGCCTCCGGTAACGCCAACCAGTCTATCATTTTGCTCCGGCGGAAAAACCGGCCGGCCGGATAATTTGAAGAACTCTTCTTCTTTTCTCCGGTTAGCGCCGGCGCACGATAGCAGCGTCCGCCGGAGCTCCTCCATCTCCATCTTCCGGCTCTTATCCGGTCTCACGATTCCCATTTCTGATTTTCTTTTTTGGCTTTCTTGTGGGATTATGTTCTTCTTCTTCTTCTTCTTCTTATAGACATTCTATTTCTCAATAATAAAAGAAAACACCTCAGGGCAGAGCAACGACGACATTTATAGTACCCTCCTTTTCAAACTACAATAACTAAATGATTTATGCTTGGGTACCCCACTTTTTTTAGAGGAATACCCCATTTTGTACACCATGTATCTTAGCTCTTCATTTATTTTTTTATTTTTAATTTTTTTATCTCTCTTGCTTTGTGTGGTGGAGATGGAGGGGGTACAAATGGGGTACCCCAAATGGTGTACCCCTAGCATTTTTGTTTTTTTTAACAATGTTGGTTGTGTACGAGTGTATGTTACATCAATCAACAATCACAAGTCAAAAATGAAATGTCTCACGTGGAACATTTTAACTAATAAAAAATAATTCAGTCAGCGTGTGGCAAGCGAATATAGTGGCAAGTTTTATAGAGGCAAGTCATTATTTTTATCATTTTTTACATTTTTTTAATGTTTTTGAAAATAAAAAAATTATTATTTATTATCAAAAAATTATTCTACTTCCTAATACATTTTTTTTTCATTAAATTTTTTTTTTTTTTAAAAAAAGGTGGAGTGTCACACTCATGAGTCATGCCTCACCAAGCAAGACATTTTGGCCTTATCATGCCATGATATGAGAGGAAGGAACTGATGTGGTATTGCAAGGCATTCCTCTTCCTTCATTGCACATGCTCTTAAGCAAAGGAAATAGGTCTAACGCCGGGTTTGCGATTTGTCATTACAACCTAGACGAGAAGATGCATATATACGAAGAAATCGATGAAGAAAGGAAATGAAACAACCGTCAAGAAATTCGAAGCCGAGAGTTTCACAATGCACTAACGGCAAATTTAATCGAAGATATCTTTAGTCGCTCAAATAATCAGTAATTTGTTCGTAGCGTAATTTTTTTATGGATATAATTTTTTTATTTAATGAATGTAATTTTTTTATTTAATGAGAGTCAATATGGAATGAAATGAATGCTCTATATGTCTCACTAAATGTTTTATGGTGTACAAATTAGTTTTCATAGATTTTGAAGAAGGCATTAAATTTTTTTAATAACAATTCACTTCGTATATAGATAATAAGGGCAAATTCTTCCGTGGACCTAATGTCCATGCTGATTATATATACCATAGTGAATTTAAAGTATAAATAAAAGAAGTAAGCATTTTCAAAAAACAAATATCCACATACAAATTCATGAAAAATGTGAGAAAGTTTACATTTTAAATGTGGACTTTCAGACCATGTAAGCCTTACTCATACATAAGAGACAAATATTTTGAACTACAGATTTATTCATTACTAAAATATTATATAAAATAAATGTAACTTTCTAAAAAACATCCGAAAAAGAAAATGTAAAACATTTTATAATAAAAAGAAGCGAGTAAGGAAATTTTTATAATTAACTTTTTCAAAATTATATTTTGAATAAACTTTCAAAATAGTGGTGAGCAAACCAAACCAGGCCACCTCATTTCAAAGTGCAACAAACGACACTCGGTATCAAATACTATCAGCAAATCTTGTAAGATTTAAAAAAGGACCATGCTACACTTACACCAAAAAAATATACCACATTTGTACACCACAGGTTTGCATAAACATTTCAATGGTTTACACCGACACAAGTGTTGGTGCGTTAATAAAAATTCACACGGACACAAATGTTGGTGCATTTAACAAAAATTAGTTTTACACCAACACAACGTGTTGGTGCAAAACTGCGGGGTACAAATTGGGGTACAAAACTTGGGGTACACATAGCATAATCCTTTAAAAAAAAGTGGAGCAAAAAAAAATGTTATAAAATGTAACCTTTTGACGTTCATATTAAAACTCAAAGTATAACAAATCATGTACTCTCTTTTGAGAAGGATAATTTTAGATCAAATATTTGGTCTAAAATTGATATACTAATTCAATTGAAGGGATTTGAACCACTTATAGTCTCACAACAAAAAATCAGTTGTACATATCCTCCTAATTTTCTCGATAAATCTCTCAACTCATCCAATCTCTCATGCACACCTCAAATTGTATTTCAACTCCTCCTATCCGGTCTAGGTTTTAAAACTGCTACACTCTACAAAATTTTTTAGTTCTTCCGAGGAGTTACTTTTTAGTTCGAGGTTTTTAGTTAATAAGAACTAAAAAGTGTAGCACTAAAAAAACTACTACACTTTTTAGTTTGAGGTTTTTAGTGCTACACTTTGGCAAGGCAAGGTATGCCAAGAGAGTAAGACCCGAGTTCGATTCTTGACAACTGCGCTAGGAGGCAACTATGCTGAGCATAGGACATCTGCAAGTACCAGGTGCATGCTCCATTCTTTGCCACCAATCTGCGATTAAAGTCTAATTTATCTTCTCTCAGTGACTGTCCGTCCGGGGTTGAGGAGGCCCTCGGGGATGAGACTCATCATTTTTTTTTAATCTAGAATTGGTAAGTTTTGAATTTTAGTTTTTAAATATTAATATATAAAAAAATTAAGAAACTATTTTTCACCAAACAAAACAAGACCTAAAAAGATGAAATTTGCTTCTTGCAAGCATTAAACCCAAAACCTCCACCTTAACACCTAAAAGTACTTCAACAAATTAGCATTACCCAAAAGTCTTTCTTTTTCCGATTAGTGAGTCCTCCAACGAGGCCTTGGCGTGAAGATTGTGTTAATGGATCAGAATATGATTATCTCATCGTTACCTTTTCCTGTTCCCCACAAGCAGTTCTCTCTCGACATTCAGGTTTTATAGGTTTTCATAATTCTTTTTTTGTTTTTCCAGTTCTTAATTTTTGTTTTTTTGGGTATGGTCTGTTAGCTTTTAGCAGTGAAATTCATACATGTAAAGTTGTAAATCACAATTTGTTCTGCTTTTGATCAGGTTGAGGTTAATTTGAGGTTTGATTTGCATTTATGTATAAAAACGTATGCACACCACTTGTTTGATGTATTGTCTAGCATTCTTTTCCTGTATCGTACTCCTTAGTCCTAAAATAAGGTTTAGAATTAAAAAGGTAAAATTATATCTTTAAAAACTATGACAAAAGTTCTGTACACAAGCAAGGACTTCACTACTTAATTTTATCAAACGACTTATGAAATGCATAAAGAAAGAAGATATAGTTTAACTCTATGAATAGTGAACAAAAACATTATTTTGGCACGAAGACATTTTGGCTATCGTATCACAAAAAGTGCTGTTAGATTCGTCTCTATTTATATTTTCAAGGTATCAACTTTTTTACTAATTTTGTAATAAAAAATCAAATATGTTAATGGTCAAACTGTTAAAAACTCATAGGGAGTATGTCTTGCTAGAATTGAAGTCATACACTTATATACTCATGGCTCATCAGTTGTTTCCCTAATATTTATTTTCTTGTTTTGTTCTATGACTTCCAACAGGGGAATAAAACCGATTTCATCATATGTAGTTATGATGACCATTTTCTTGTGAGTTCTTAATCCCTTAACTAGGTTATCATCATTGTTGTTATTGTTGTTGTTGTTGTTGTTATATTTATTATTAGAGCTCAGTTCTTTTCACACTAAGGTTCAATATCATAATATGGCATTGGTCATTTGAGGACCCGATAGTGCTCCGTTCGACCTCAATCCATCACAAACCCCCTAGCACTCCCATGTGGGTGACAATCCACTGCCAAATATACGAGTTGCTGGGGGTGGGGGGGAGTGGGGGTAGAGGAGTGTAACAACGATGGGATCGAATAGAACAGCGTAGGGCCCGGGTGTCATATTATGACACTGGAGTTGAGTGTCCAAAGAACCCCAATGTTGCTGTTCTTATTTCGTAGTATTATTATTATCATTGTTGTTGTTGTTATAATTGTGAGGTTTTCATAGGTTGTTTTATTCTGAATATTCAGGTTATTGTAACTCAAATAGGAAGTATGGGCACCATACTGCATGCTAGGTTTGCATTACATCTTCTACTAAGTTGTTTTTGAACACACATTTTTCCAATTATGATATGGCTGTTAGTCCTTAAAAAGGACCGCGATCCATTTATAACATAATATGGTTAGTGACCTCCACAATTTGACATCTGTAACATAATGGTTTCATAGTTATCTAATCCATATTCCCAAAAAATGAGTGCCATTTCAAAGTTTTTTTATTCCAAAAGAAGAGTACTTGTGTTCCACCAAAAGAAGCTACTTTTCATTTAGCTTAATGTATTTTTTCAACACAAAAAGTGTTCCGAACAAGACAAGTATTCCATCCATCCCAAAATAAACTTCAGCGTTTACCTTCACAAAGTTTTAAAAAAAGCGTTGGAAAGTAAAAAAGTTGGTGGTTGAAATTTAAATGGAGATTTTGAGCCACATAATCTAATCCTAAATAGAAAAAAAATGAGAATGAAGTTTATTTTGGAACAACCAAAAAAGTAAAGTGTGAAGTTTATTTCGGGACACTTCACAACCAAGTTAATAGATCAAAATTCACCACTTTCAATCAGATGTAACAGGTGTTTGTATGGTTCTTTATTGGTAGGAAGGAAGAAGGGATGACGACCGAACCAAACTTTAGTGTGTCTGTAATACTTGGGAAACGTGATGAGGTATATGATGAAGAACACATTACTGAGTTTCCATAACAGCTGCTGCTAGAATAGTACTAGGATTAAGAGTGGACACGGTTCTGCCAAGCAACACCGGTACTGTTGGGGTAGGGGTGGGGGAACAGTTCCGGTTCTAACATTTTGGAACCGGTTCTGGTTCTGAAATCATTATTGTTTTTGTTTTTAAGGCCGATTCACATTTTCCCTTGCACAATTTCCTCGAATAAATTAGTAAATGAGTGATGAAGGTCATTTTACATTTTTTCAAAAAAGAAAAAGGGAACGAAACCGGTCGGGAACCGGTATCGTACACCCTATGGCCTACCCGGTTCTGATCACGGCCTTCCCCTGGGGACTAGGAACCGCAAGTTACAGAACCGGCCTGTGTCCACCCCTGAGCAGGACATATATAATTTTTTTTAATGATGTCCTCCTGAAACCCTACTCTCAAGTGGGATAATAGTGGGTTTGGTTGTTTTGCTTGTCTTGAATTTTAATAATAACACCAGTTTACAATCCTGCAGCAAATGCTGGTTGCTTGTGCTAGACAGATTATTGAGCACATAAGGTATTTCCACCTCTCTATTGACTGCTATCATTTTTTCCCCCAAGTTTTAACTCCAGTTGTCTAGACTCCATGCTTCATGTTTTAGGCTCTAAACTCCAATTTTTCGATTCTAGTTCAAATGAACATATTCAGTCTCCAAATTTCAGGCTCTTGACTTAGTCTCCACACTCCAATTTTTAGGCTCTAAAGTTTAGGCTTCAGTCTTTAGACTCTAGTTAAAATTCAGGTAAAAAAGCTGGCCCTAAGAGTGATACAAATAGTGTGAGTGAGTGAAAAACGACATACACAACCGTTACAATCACTTTACCATCCTAATATGGCGTCTCCAAGAACTCCTATCGGAGTCTCTCAGAGAGGTTTGAGGTTGTCAAGTCAAAATTCAACAATGGAAGTAGAGACATTGTTTCCAAGAGACTTCCGGCTCAGACACAAAAGCATAGACAACTTTTTTAAACTTAGACAAAACTAACACATTCGCAACTAGACCCAAAGCACTCATGCACAAGCTACATACGCAAGTAAAAAAAAACACCGGCAATCATATTTTTATATCTTGGCAAATGTTTGCAGTTCCGCGGGATCTTCGAGACCTTTGGTTCTCTCACTTGGTTTGAAAGATCATTCTCTGGTTTGTCAAATAAAACACTGTCACTTTTTTGTGTTGTAACATTTAAATCTTACATAATCACAATCATAAGTTATATTGCAGACCACTCTGAAAGGCATTGTTTCTGCTGTGAAGGAAAACTGCCTCTGGTAATCATATGTGGACAAGCTCCAAGCCTTTTGAGGGCTGCAATTATGGCATAATGTTTTCACTATGAGATGCTTGATGTATATTGTATGAAAAATCTATGCCAATACTTCTAGAAATTTCGAGATTTTACTAGAAGAATATTTAATGATTACATAACTATCACCAGCACTCCCAGAAATATACGGAGTAATAGTTAATATTCAATTTTTGAGGTGTATTTGTAATCTATGTGCAATCTTAGAGTAATATTCTAAAATATTGAATTTCTAGAATCGCCAGAGATAATTATGTAATCTCTGAGTATTCTAGTAAAATCTCAAATTTCTAAGAGTTTAATTGAATTTTTCATGGATTATGTTACCCTGTATTAAACATCACAATACTATGTGATGCCTAAATGAACATTATGTGTATTGCTCTCACAGTACCAACATTTCATTTAACGAATATAATTGTTGTGTAATTTTCGAAATGTGTTGCAAACAAGTTGTATGTAATAAATTTGGTAAAATCAACTATTAAACTTTGAAGAAATATACCTTAACCAAACAAGCTTTCATTTCCATTGATAAAGTAAAACATTAAACATCATGGTATTGTATATTGAGGCTGGTTATGTAGATACAAAAGGCCATTTTTTTAGGATCTAATCGTGTTTCATCTTGGTGATTTTAGTGTCATCGATTAATTTGTGTAATTTGATTTATTTTAGAGCAGACGAAAATTTTAATTGGTGTTGTTAACGAGTTGGGTGGTGTGAAATGCACGCACGTTCAATGATATTATGAATTTCGTAGCTGGGTCAAAGGGTGGCAACCCCCTCCAAGGGGCAGACCCAATACGTTCGAATGTTTACTCTTAAATATTTGAATGTTTTGTGATAAGAAGTAACGGATCACATAGAAAATTATTGAAATGATATCCTTAACAATAACTATTGTAAACATTCAAATGTGCTGCGTAAAGTTAGTTATGTTGTTTCGTGAAGAGATGCGTCCGATCAGTTTTGCTTTATAAATATGGAGGCCCAGGGTATGTTTGAAAAAAGACGGAATTTTCATACTCGTTCTAGCTAGATAATAATGTCGTATATGATTAAAGTATTTTGCTATACCTCGAAATAATTTTAATCTAAAAGTCATCATGTGATTTGTTTAGTCTACCAAGTTTCTTCACGTTCGTTTGTATATCGTTCTATATAATGCTGCTACGCCTTGTTATCACAAATCTCTCAAATTTCCAACAATTCATTCAAATTTTAAAGTGCTTATCTTATTACTTATCTTAGCCTTTCCCTCTCGGAGTGACAATAAACCATCAATTTTTTGTTGGAGAAAAGTGAAACTATTCTCTCCATCTCAAAACATTTTTAAAGTTGTCAAAAACTTTCCTATCAACATTTGGATGGAAAAAATTTGTATCTCCACTCTAAAAATATTTTGTATCAAATGAGAGATCTAGTGATGATATTATGAAAACAAAAATTGTGGCAAAATTTAATTTTAACATATAATAAATCACACAATACTTATACTTTTAGTACACTTTATAAAATAAACTCACGAAGAGTTCAATAAAATCTCACAAAAATACATGATACAAAGTAAAATTTAGATGGAGTGAATATAAACGATAGAGTTCAATAAATCTCACTTAACAGTTTTATTTTAGCAATGATCAGTGAAATGTTGAAAAGGAAGAAACGCTTTAAAGTTTAACATTTGTCCAAACACAATTATTAAAAATGAAAAAAAGAATGATTAAGAATTATGCAAAAGAGAAAAATGACGCATACTACTCTCTCCGTCGTAAATTGAATTGCATCTTTAGTATTTTAGTTATTTGAATTTACCTAGAGGTACACCAACATGAGGTACCCCATTTGTACACCAAGCCAACACAGACACACATGTTGGTTTGGTGTACAAATTGGGTACCCCATGTTAGTGTACCCCTATCATTGCCCTAGTTATTTATATGATAAGATACCAATCATGTCATCTTTTATTTCATAAAACATTTGGTGTAAGTTTTCAAATACTTCCTTCGTCCTAAAATGTTTCTCAATTACTATTTACACAGTTAAACTTTAATCATTTTATTTACCTATTTTTGTTTTTTTATTTGAAAAAATAATATAGTCTTATCACCTTTTTTTTATAAACTTTTGATGTAGTTTTTAAATATATCAAATTTATTTTTTAAATTTATACCTACAATCAAATAAATTAAATTAAAAATAAAGTCACTCAAACCTTATAAACAGAAATGAGAACGTTTTAAAACAGGGGAAGTATGTAACTTGAGTATTATCATACGACTCATCTTTTTATTGTATACTCCCTTCACCCCAAATTTATATACAATATTGAACTTGTAAAAGACTATCTTTATAAAATTGATTTCAAAATAATTTCAATCAAACATCGTAAACTGAAACATGTACTATAAATTGGGACGGAGGGAGTATCATTTTTGGGACAGAGAGAATAGAAAAAAACCACATTCGTTATCTCTAATGAGTTAATGATTCACCTAAGTAATCAACTCTTTTACATTAAAGCTATAAATAACCAATGATTTAAAAAATGGGAAATCATATGGTATACTTGGCCCATAGTGTGTCGTACTTTATAACGATGACATCCTTAATGCATAAGATTTAATTACAACATATTTGTAGTAATTAAATTACAACATTGAGCTTTACATTATAAAATAATACATAATACACATACCATACCAACACTGCAACAACATGAAGTAAAATGAGGTTTTAGATTTGCAGCAATTCATCCTTGTTCCTCTTTCTCGACCAAAACACTTAATCTCTTTTCCAACTGCAAATTCAGAACAATAACAATCAATACAATCTATTGAAGCGTGCCTCTTTCTTGCCATGACACGCGACGCCAAAGAATTACTGAATTAGAGTATGTTTTGATCTTGGAAAGTTGTATAAGTTGAGAAATAGAGAAAAATTGTTGAGGAAATTGATTGTTTAATGTTTGGTTTTAGCTTGAAAAATTTGAACAAGATCCAAATTCAATTCAAACTTCTATTTGTTTATAAGGAGTACAAAAATACTTCATAAAAATGTGTCTTTTATAACATATCTAAATTGGATTCATTTCTCTACTTCCGAGCAAGTGTAAAGGTCTGTGTGCACACACACTTCCCAAACCTTACGGTCTTGTGGAATTCTATTAGGTTTGTTGTAGTTGTATCCAAAGTTGATTCATTGGGTAGAAGCAATATTTTATTTTCCCACAAATTTTATTTCCCAATATCCCATCTTTCCATTGCATTCCCCTCCTAGTAAACTCAATTCTAACCATCATATCAATCCGAAAAAAAGCACAAGGATACGCATGAGGAAAGGGGTTGGGAGAACATAAATCCATTTTTGGATGGTTGCCATTCAAAAGCAACTTGGCTTCACACCCAACAGTTCTAAAAAAGAATATGATTTACTGGAGGAAAATGAACAAATAGTTGGACTAGGTACTAATTGGCTAACTCTTGGTCCTCTCACAAGATGGATCCATGGATGGAAAGTGAAAATTTATAATGTTGGATTAGGCTCACACGATATCCAGCCCAAGATTGGAAGACCTGAGAGCCTAGATCATCAACTCGACCCCACGGTTCAAGGTTCTAATCAGATTATGGCAAGTCAGCCTGGCTGCAGCCTTCAGGTCCGAGGTATGGGTCAGATTAAACTAGGACAGCTAGCTGATGCCCCGAGGTGCGAATCAGCCTAAAGTGCCAAGGCAATCTGATAAGCCTCCAATCAGATTGGTATATTCAAGAAGGAAAAAGAAGATGGCAAAGGGTGGGCCAGCAGAAGTGGAGCAGCTCAAAATGTTAATGGGCATTTCAAACAACCCACTAAGTGGCTGAGTGGGTGGGTTACGTGGCAGTTACCAACTCCCCTGGGAGTGGGTTTATTACTTAGTGTCATGTTATTTTCTTATGTGATTATCTTTTATTGTATTTTCCTTTGAGAATCTGGAGACTATCCCTTCTCGAATTGGGACTTGATGTACTTTTTTTAATTCTAAATTCAATCCAGCTCAAGCTTTATCATTTGGTTCCATTGCCGGGAAATCGAATGGCACCAACAACCCGGAGTAACCAATTGGAAGGCGGGGGTGCAGAACCTGACCCCATTGCCGTCCAGTTAGCCGCCATCGCCGAGAGACTAGCCGTCATGGAATCCCTGAAAGACGACGTCGCCGCCCTCAAGTCTCATGCTTCATCTTCTAGTAACAGCGGTTTTAAACGTGGTCATAAAGATCCTGCCGATGATGGTGAGTACTCTTGGAGAAACAATCGTCCTTATCGCCCTTATAACAAGATAGATTTCCCTGTATTTAGTGATGGAGATCCTAGAGGTTGGATTCTAAAGGCAGAAAAGTATT